GACATAAGTGGCCATGAGAAAAAGGTGAGGGGTGCTTTGAAGATCATCAAGCAATATCAAGACCCTCTTATAGACGAGAGGTTGAAAGAATGGAGAGATGGAAGGACGAAGGAGCCTGAGGACCTGCTTGATGTTTTCATTTCACTCAAAGATGCAAATGGACAGCCCTTATTGTCAGGTGAAGAAATCAAAGCTCAAATCACGGTGAGATATTCTTACTTACCACTAATTTTTTCAAGTAGTATGGATCCTTAATTTGTTGATGTTTTTATGTTTATTTTTATTCATGCGATATTAAAAGGAATGGAGATTCAAAACAGGACTTCCGTTGCATGATAAATGCTTTTAATCACTTGAGCTACAAGCCGCTTTCAAATTTGTCAATGTTTATTGAGCTAAAGTTGTGCTTATGAATACTAAACTCTAAACTCAAAACGCTGAACTTGAGCAACGAGCAGCGCTGAAAAGAAAAGCAGATGATCCTATTTCTGAATTTTTCATGTTCAAAGTAAGAAACCAACTTACATACATGTTCTTGTGCGTGATCAGGAACTGCAGCTTGCAACAGTTGATAATCCGTCCAATGCAGCAGAGTGGGCTCTAACAGAAATGCTCAACCAGCCTGAGCTGCTGAAAAAGGCAGAAGAAGAACTAGATAGGGTAGTTGGAAAGCAGAGGTTTGTTCAAGAGTCTGATGTCCCCAAGCTCCCTTACGTAAGGGCTTGTGCAAGAGAAGCACTTAGGCTGCATCCAATTACAGCATTCAACGTCCCCCACGTGTCCAACACAGATGCTGTAGTAGCAGGCTACTTCATCCCAAAAGGGAGCAGTGTTCTGCTAAGCCGCTTAGGTCTCGGGCGCAACCCGGAAGTGTGGGAAAACCCGCTGAGATTCGACCCAGAACGACATCTAAAAGGAGATGCTGATCAACAAGTGGATCTGCAAGAGCATGAGCTGAGGTTCATTACATTCTCTACTGGACGGAGAGGATGCATTGGAGGTGGGATTGGGACTACCATAACTGTCATGCTCCTAGCAAGGCTTTTGCAAGGGTTTACTTGGAGCATGCCACCCAATGTGGACAAGATTGAGCTCACTGAGGCTCTCTCCCTCCTCTTCAAGGCCAACCCTTTGTTTGCACATGCTAAACCTCGCTTGCCTACTTCTCTCTACATGGTTTAGTTTCACCCAAGTGTAGTCAGATCTACCAACTCGGAATGGATAAATAAAAATAAGGAAAATTTTGTGCTTTGAATAGTTTTCATCTTCAAGGAATTGGGAGATTTCAACAAAGTATAAGAAAAATATACCAAGACTAATGCAATGTATAGGCTTTACATCAAAAGCCTATCTTATGGGATGAGCTGAAAATGGTCGCCGATCAAATTGCAAATATGATAAATTAATTGACTAGACTCTGGATCATTCAATCCATTACAGAATTCTATTAATTAAAATTGGAGCCAAGCATATTGATTGCCAATTTGCCATCGCCAACAAATAGTAGAGAAACTCTTGTGTAACATGTTGCATGCTTCTTTTTTTCTCTCTCTCTCATCACATGATTAATCATGTGATGAGAAAGATAAGAGAAACAGATAGAAAACAAGATCTCCCAGGGTATTTAAGATACAAAATTGTGTGTGATGATAACGCTGTGTTCCATGCCGACACTTATCAACATACTGTAAACATGAACATTATTCTTGTGATTCTTTGTTTATCTACGTCTATTTAGAGCACCTTGTAAGACAATATTTATTGTCTTAGTTCTGGAAATATATCTTCTAATCCTAAAAGGACTCGAGTGTTTTAATTGATTATGTAATAGAACTCAAGCTTTTGGAATAACCACTTGTACATAGCTTATTAAAGTAATACACTAGTGTTAATTCCTAATACAATATGAATTGAAACAAACCTAGTCTAATGCAAACAGAACACTTGAAAGCTTCTTGATAGGCAAGGCATTCAAGTGATGCATGTATATATAGGGGTCCTTTCCCTTGCAGCAAGACATACTCAAAAACATACTCTCACCCTATCAAGAAAAGGAATTAAAGAGCTGCATAGGAGAAGTTCCTATATAGTTGTCATGGTTGAGCAATGTTAGTATTTTGGAATAAAAGCCTAGTAAGGATTTACACAACTTCCATAACATTGGCCAAAAAATAAAAGTAAATATAAAAAAAAACAAAAAAGAGGCCAGAAAACCTCTCCCGACGAAATTCCCTTGGCACAGGTCTATCCCCGCAAAATTTGCAGAATTAGGCTTCCCCCGATGAAATTTCATCTTTCGTGGGGGCAAATCTAATCTAGCAAAGCTTCGCCGGGATATACCTGTGCCGACGAAACTTCGTCGGGAGAGATTTTATTTAAAATAAAATAGAAAATTTTATTTTAAAGTTTCTTTTTAGTAATTAAATAATATCTCGGACTTATTTAATTACTTTCATCTGTAATTCTGTTTTAATTATTATTTCTTTAATGAATAATTAAATATTTTAATTAACTTAATAAATGGTAATTATTATTTTAAATTTTTTTATTTCCATTTAATCAAATATTTAAATACTAATTATTCACTAGTGGTGCGTTTGGATAGGAGAAATAAACTTGGGATTTTGACAAAACTTAGAATTTCTAAATTGACATGAACCAATTCCGGTGTTTGGATAAAAAAAACATAGAAATTTAGAAATTCCGAGTGGAAAAAAGCATGGAATTTGGAGATCATAAATCCCAAGTTTAAATTCTATCTAAAAGTCGTTATTTCTAAATCCCAAGAGAGATTGAGTTTTAAAAAAAGATAAATTTACAAATAAAGGTTAAATTCCGTGTTTTAAATCAGTCACCCAAACCAGAAACTTTACAAATTCTAGAACATATTAATTTCCATCATTTATGAAATCTTTTGTACTTTTAAATTTCCTCATCCAAATGCATTGTAAGTAAATAGTAATTAAAACATAACTACTAAGTAAAGTAATTAAAAAAGATAAATCAAGATTATGCTATTCAAAGGTAAAACGAATTTAAACTCTAATTTCTTATACTGAGCATGTTATGGTCCGATTCCTTACTCTGATTTCTGTTTGGCTGAACTTGACTGGAATCAAAGGTTTATCTGAGGCTGAAGTTGATAAGATATGGGAAGCTGCTGAAAACCATTTCAGCTCAGAGATTTTATATCTCATATGTGTTCTTTGGTTGTAAGCCTTTATGTTGCTGAAATGTTCAGAGACAAATTCAACTTGTTATTCATAGTTTGATAGATATTCAACTTGTTATTCAACTTCTTGCCGAAATGTTCATCTAATGGCAGAGGAAACACTTCGGAGTCAAATTCAACTTGTTATTCGTAGTTTGAGAGAGGTAAAATCTTGCTTAAATGTTCCAATTCATATAAGACTCAAAAAGTTATGTACTTTATATTAGGAACTTGTAGTTTCATGTTTAACTTCATCAATTTTTTTGTTTATCAGGCTCTAGATGGCGCTGATGGGTTCCAGAAATACCCATCAAATGCAACAATTTCAATGTGCAGAATTTAGTATTGATCAGGTAACTTTCATGTACATTTTTCTTTCTTATATTACTTGTTGTTATCGTTGTTAAGGGATTTAGTGCCTTTCTCTTTCTAGTGAGTTATGGCTATAAGGCTGAACATATCTTGGTCAGGTTGTATTCATTCTAGAGTCGCAGAGGACATACTTCTTTTGGATGATATGGCAGCAGAGGAAACATTAGAGGTAAAATCTATCAGTCATGTATCTGGTTCTTGTATGTTCGATGCTTTATATGTCTTCTCATGATATAAATTGTTCCAGTGAAACGTGATTGTCTTTTGTTGAAAGAACAAAGTGAAGAACAACAAGTTCTGCGTCTGTCCATTTTTGTTGTGTTGATGAAAAGGCATACACACGATTTTCTGGATATATAGTGGAGATATATTTTTCCACCGTTTTCCTTAATAATGCATATTTAAATCATAATATCTCTGTCTTCTAATATTCTTGTTTTGTTTTTGTTTTTATTTTTTCCTTTGGCAAATTCTTTCCTTAATAATGCATACTTCAATCATAACATTCAGGCCCTTCTATCATGAGGTTTTTCCTTTGGCAAATTACAATGGTTAAGTTGCTAAAATGAGTTTTCAAACAAAATGCAGGTGGCCATTGCCGCAGATCAAGTGTGAGTTTGATTCTTGTTAGATGATGTCTACTGCCATTGCTATCATGAAGTTTTGCATAGGTTACACTGTAGGTTTGGCAGCACTATTATGCGTGAATGAGTTGGAGGCTGTGTAAAAGTTAATTGTATAGGTTTGGCAGCACTATTATGTGTTTCTTTAATACTCTATAGAGTTTGTATTTGAAATATGATTCGTATAGTTTTCAATGAAATGGTTCTTTCTTTCAAGTTTGGTAGCAATACTACTTTTCATTTTGTGAAATCATGTATCCAGGGTGCATTGAACTTCTTAAATGGGAATTAATTACTCTTTTACGGCATAATTAGTCATTTAAGATGGCGTGCGGAACATACCGTAATTATTAAAAGGCGCACAAAGCATGTCGTAATTGCTTCAACTGAACTATGGCTAATAAGGAATGTCATCTTAAGATTTTATAACGACATTCATGCACGCCGTGATTGAGGACCACTATGTATGATGAGGGCTTTTACTGCTTGCCTGTTTTGCGTCGTGATTGATAATTCACCACTACCTGCAGTTTTGCGTCGTGATTGATAATTCACCACTACCTGCAGTACTGCATAATTATTAGTTGTAACACCCCGACTCCAAATTTATCCCCTATTTTAATTAATTTGAGCGAAATTAAGAATTTACCCGTGGGATAGGGATATTTTAGTCATTTTCTTACCCGGAAGGAATTTGGGAATTCCGGATGTACCGTTGCGTAGAGCACGGCGAGATGAGTTCGTAGACATGTAGTGGGCTCGAATCGGAGTTGTAACGAGAGAGATATGATCAAATGAAGCTCAGTGGCATAATCGTAAATATTTTGAAGTGGGATTTTTGGTTAAAAGACGGAATTGCCCCCGTCTCTCAGACACTCTCTCTCTCCCGCGCGTCCCTCTCTCTCTCCTCTGGTTCGCGACCGCCACCACAGCCGGCCACGTTTTGGCCGGCCGTTCATTCGTCCGGCCACCACTCGGGTCGGGACCGGTCCCAAAATGACCGGCCTGACTCCGCCGTCCTACCCCACCTGTTCTCCGACGTCAGCCGGCAGCGATACCGCCGGAAAGTGCAGAAAACGGCCGGTTTTTACCCAGATTTTCCGGAGCTCGTTCCGGCGATTCCGGCCACCAAATCTTGCGATCAAGGTATGGTTTCTCACCTATTTTCCGAGCTCTAGCTGCCTGTTGGGTAGGAATTGATCGATTTGTAGCGTAGGCAACTCGATTTACGAATTGGGTTTCGGCCGGATTTCGGGATGAGATTCCGGCCACTTCCGGTCAGATTTTGGGGTACGTCCAAGAACAAAAGTGACTCCAAATAGGGTGTTTTACCTAGGGTAGGAGTCTTGAGCCGTGATTTGTGATTTTTCCGGCGATGGATTATCGCTTTAGACACCCACGCGCGGCCGGCGCGTGTGGCGGCGCGTGGGCACTGTAGTTGAGGGGCATTTTTGTCCCACTGTGATCCTCTCGATGTCACGAGCGCGTAGGTGTGCTCGGATCCCAATTTGGTTACCGTTAGAGTCCCGAACGGATATCGCATATCGCGTATTTTCCGGGTTCGCTGGGTTTGGACCGTTGGATGGTCCTGAGATTATAATATGTTGATCTAGGTATTACCAGGATCGTGTAGGATTCGACGGATCGTAAAACGGAGTCCCGGATACTCCGGAAATGCCAACCCTGGGGTTAGGGTTTTAGTAACCGTCCGATCGCGTGATCGTGAGCGATCCGACCGTCCGATCTGGACCAAACTTGCAGGACATGTGTCCTAGAGCTTGTAGAACCTCTAGGAACTATCGGATCGGAATTTGGAGGTTGTGGGCCCCGCAGGCCCGTTTGACCCTAGGTTGACCGTGAGACTCCCGAGATAGTCTTACCTTTCCCTGAGGGTGAGGATGACCTTAGTGATAGGTCTTGAGCGTTGTTGAGTTAAATGGATATTGTGGGTTTAGGATATAAATTGGTGAATTTAAATGTGGGAGTTTATGGAATGTTTTATTGGTTATGTTATTGTATGATTAGAAATTCCTTGATATATTTAATTGGTTGTGTGGATGTATAATGATATATAAGGAGATTGAATGTTAGTTTACAGTGCTATACGCACTACTCCACGTACCCCCCCCCATATTGTGATTATGTTGAGGCCCAAGTGATAGTGTGAGGTCGCACGCGTCTTTGGGTTAGCCGGCGTGTTGACAGACCCCGTACGTGGCTGGGTGCGTCCCGACGTATGAGTGGGAGATATGGTTGTGTGAGGGCTGGTGAGAATGTAGCCAGGCCCAGTGTGAGGTCGCACGCGTCTTTGGGTTAGCCGGCGTGTTGACAGACCCCGTACGTGGCTGGGTGCGTCCCGACGTATGAGTGGGAGATATGGTTGTATGAGGGCTGGTGAGAATGTAGCCAGGCCCAGTGTGAGGTCGCACGCGTCTTTGGGTTAGCCGGCGTGTTGACAGACCCCGTACGTGGCCGGGTGCGTCCCGACGTATGAGTGGGAGTTATGATGGTATGATGGCTGGTGAGAATGTAGCCAGGCCCAGTGTGAGGTCGCACGCGTCTTTGGGTTAGCCGGCGTGTTGACAGACCCCGTACGTGGCCGGGTGCGTCCCGACGTATGAGTGGGAGATATGGTTGTATGAGGGCTGGTGAGAATGTAGCCAGGCCCAGTGTGAGGTCGCACGCGTCTTTGGGTTAGCCGGCGTGTTGACAGACCCCGTACGTGGCCGGGTGCGTCCCGACGTATGAGTGGGAGTTATGATGGTATGATGGCTGGTGAGAATGTAGCCAGGCCCAGTGTGAGGTCGCACGCGTCTTTGGGTTAGCCGGCGTGTTGACAGACCCCGTACGTGGCCGGGTGCGTCCCGACGTATGAGTGGGAGTTATGGTTGTGTGAGGGCTGGTGAGAATGTAGCCAGGCCCAGTGTGAGGTCGCACGCGTCTTTGGGTTAGCCGGCGTGTTGACAGACCCCGTACGTGGCCGGGTGCGTCCCGACGTATGAGTGGGAGTTATGGTTGTGTGAGGGCTGGTGAGAATGTAGCCAGGCCCAGTGTGAGGTCGCACGCGTCTTTGGGTTAGCCGGCGTGTTGACAGACCCCGTACGTGGCCGGGTACGTCCCGACGTATGAGTGGGAGTTATGGTTGTGTGAGGGCTGGTGAGAATGTAGCCAGGCCCAGTGTGAGGTCGCACGCGTCTTTGGGTTAGCCGGCGTGTTGACAGACCCCGTACGTGGCCGGGTACGTCCCGACGTATGAGTGGGAGATATGATGGTACGATGGCTGGTGAGAATGTAGCCAGGCCCAGTGTGAGGTCGCACGCGTCTTTGGGTTAGCCGGCGTGTTGACAGACCCCGTACGTGGCCGGGTACGTCCCGACGTATGAGTGGGAGATATGATGGTATGAGGGCTGGTGAGAATGTAGCCAGGCCCAGTGTGAGGTCGCACGCGTCTTTGGGTTAGCCGGCGTGTTGACAGACCCCGTACGTGGCCGGGTGCGTCCCGACGTATGAGTGGGAGATATGATGGTATGATGGCTGGTGAGAATGTAGCCAGGCCCAGTGTGAGGTCGCACGCGTCTTTGGATTAGCCGGCGTGTTGACAGACCCCGTACGTGGCCGGGTGCGTCCCGACGTATGAGTGGGAGCTATGTGATTATGTTGGGTGTGTTGTGATGGATAAACCCGAGAATGTATGTATTTATATGGATGAAATGGTTTAATTGATGTCAGGAGCCAGGATTGATAGGAAAGAGCTACGTGTGGCTTGATCCCTTAGTAGGGTACGTAGGCAGCCTGGGATAGCGCCTAGGTGCAGCCACGACCTAGACACCACTTAGGTGGTTTTATTGAGTATGATGCGGACCCCGCGGTTGGTCCCGAAACTTGGTTGAATTGAGGCTTGTCCGGTGGACTGAGTGAGTGAAGGTGTTTATGGATAGATTTTGAATTGGATATATGCATGTTTAATGCATTAAGTTACTTTAAAAGCAGTGTGAGTAGTTCTGCTAGAATCATTTGAAGGCCGGAGGCCATTTGTGTAAATTGCATGAGATTATATTGTGCGTGCTGCTGGTTGGGTTATTAAAATGTGTTTTATGCAGGTGGAAATTTTGGGGAATGTTCAATTTACAGGGGAGACTCTGCCGAAATTTTGGCAAAAAGTCTCGTGCCCTAAACCCTCTCTGGTAAAAGAGGACATAGTTTTAAGGAGTGAACCCGGCGTGGGTGTGATGCCGGGGTCTCCGCAGGGTTCGTCTCGGGTTTCGGGAAATTCGGGGCGGGTCCTGTCATTAGTAGTATTGAATAGAACAATAAAACCTTGCCTAACACTACCTGCTGCTCAATTCCACATCCTCTCTGAATCTAAATCATGAACACTCCAATTGCAATTTTCCTTGTATCCTTTTTCATCTTTCTTGTCAACTTGATCAGGTTGAGAAACCAGCAATAGAAACAAAGGAGTCTCTCTCCCCCCAGGCCCGACCCCATGGCCAATTGTTGGTTGTGTACCAGAAATGTGGAGGAACAAGCCCGCATATAAATGGGTGCATAGGGTCTTGAAAGAACTCGACACTGACATTGCATGCATAAAATTAGGAAATGTTCATGTCATCCCAGTGAAATCACCAGAAATTGCCAGGGAGTTTTTGAAGAAAAATGATGCAGTTTTTGCATCAAGACCTGTCACAATGGCAACTGATATTTTAAGCAGTGGGTTCTTGACCACAGGTGTTGTGCCTTGGGGAGGCCAGTGGAAAAAAATGAGAAAAGTTTTGATTGCTGATGTGTTCAATCATTCTATGGTTCAATGGCTACTTGGTAAGAGAAACGAAGAAGCTGATAACCTTGTTAAGTTCCTATACAATCAGTGCTCGTCCAATCCGAACGGTTTGGTGGTGAATGTGAGAACTGCAGCTCAATTTTACTCAGGAGGTGTGATGAGAAGGATGATTTTCAACACGAGGTACTTTGGCAAAGGGAGAAAGGATGGAGGGCCTGGCTTTGAAGAAGAGCAACACGTCCCTGCGCTTTTGACTATACTCTTGCATGTGTACGCTTTCTGCGTATCGGATTATCTTCCATGGCTTAGAGTGTTTGACATAAGTGGTCATGAGAAAAAGGTGAGGGGTGCTTTGAAGATCATCAAGCAATATCAAGACCCTCTTATAGATGAGAGGTTGAAAGAATGGAGAGATGGAAGGACGAAGGAGCCTGAGGACCTGCTTGATGTTTTCATTTCACTCAAAGATGCAAATGGACAGCCCTTGTTGTCAGGTGAAGAAATTAAAGCTCAAATCACGGTGAGATATTCTTACTTACCACTAATTTTTTCAAGTAGTATGGATCCTTAATTTGTTGATGTTTTTATGTTTATTTTTATTCATGCGATATTAAAGGAATGGAGATTCAAAACAGGACTTCCTTTGCATGATAAATGCTTTTAATCACTTCAGCTAAGTTGTGCTTATGAATATTAAACTCTAAACTCAAAAGGCTGAACTTGAGCAACGAGGAGCGCTGAAAAGAAAAGCAGATGATCCTATTTCTGAATTTTTCATTTACAAAGTAAGAAACCAACTTACATACATGTTGTTGTGCGTGATCAGGAACTGCAGCTTGCAACAGTGGATAATCCGTTCAATGCAGCAGAGTGGGCTCTATCAGAAATGCTCAACCAGCCTGAGCTGCTAAAAAAGGCAGAAGAAGAACTAGATAGGGTAGTTGGAAAGCAGAGGCTTGTTCAAGAGTCTGATGTCCCCAAGCTCCCATACGTAAGGGCTTGTGCAAGAGAAGCACTTAGGTTGCATCCAGTTGCACCATTCAACCTCCCCCACATGTCCAACACAGACGCTGTAGTAGCAGGCTACTTCATCCCAAAAGGGAGCAGTGTTCTGCTAAGCCGCTTAGGTCTCGGGCGCAACCCAGAAGTGTGGGATAACCCGCTGAGATTCGACCCGGAACGACATCTAAAAGGAGATGCTGATCAACAAGTGGATCTGGAAGAGCATGAGCTGAGGTTCATTACATTCTCTACTGGACGGAGAGGATGCATGGGGGGGTGGGCTTGGGACTACCATAACTATCATGCTCCTAGCAAGGCTTTTGCAAGGGTTTACTTGGAACATGCCACCCAATGTGGACAAGATTGACCTCACTGAGGCTCTCTCCCTCTTCAAGGCCAACCCTTTGTTTGCACATGCTAAACCTCGCTTGCCTGTTTCTCTCTACATGGTTTAGTTTCACCCCAAGTGTAGTCAGATTCCAACTCTACCAACTGGGAATGGATAAATAAAAATAAGGAAAACTTTGTGCTTTGAATAGTTTTCGTCTTCAAGGAAGTGGGAGATTTCAACAAAGTATAATAAAAATATACCAAGACTAATGCAATGTATTAGTAGAGCTCAAAGCTTTATAGAATTATAGGCTTACATCAAAAGCCTATCTTATGGGAATTTTTTTTTTTTTTTTTTTTTTTTTTTTTTTTTTTTTTTTTTTTTTTTTTTTTTTTTTTTTTTTTTTTTTTTTTTTTTTTTTTTTTTTTTTTTTTTTTTTTTTTTTTTTTTTTTTTTTTTTTTTTTTTTTTTTTTTTTTTTTTTTTTTTTTTTTTTTTTTTTTTTTTTTTTTTTTTTTTTAAAAAATATTTTTTTTAATTTTTTTTTTAAAAAAAAAAAAAAAAAAAAAAAAAAAAAAAAAAAAAAAAAAAAAAAAAAAAAAAAAAAAAAAAAAAAAAAAAAAAAAAAAAAAAAATTTTTTTTTTTTTTTTTTTTTTAAAAAAAAAAAAAAAAAAAAAAAAAAAAAAAAAAAATTTTTTTTTTTTTTTTTTTTTGAAAATGTATGGTCGCCGATCAAATTGCAAATATGATAAATTAATTGACTAGACTCTGGATCATTCAATCCATGACAGAATTCTATTAATTGAAATTGGAGCCAAGCATATTGATTGCCATCGCCAACAAATAGTAGAGAAACTCTAGTGTAACATGTTGTATGCTTCTTTTCTCTATCTCTCATCATATGATTAATCATGCGATGAGAAAGATAAGAGAAACGGATAGAAAACAAGATCTCCCAAAGTATTTAAATACAAAATTGTGTGTGAAGATAACAATGTATTCCATGCCAACACTTATCAACATATTGTAAACATGAATTATTCTTGTGATTCTTCATTTAGTCCTGAAAATATGATATTCTAATCCTAAGAGGACTCAAGTGTTTTAATTGAATATGGAATAGAACTCAAGCTTTTCGTATAACCACCTATACAAAGCTTATTAAAGTAAAACACAAGTGTTAATAGAATTCCTAATACAATATGGATTGAAACAAACCTAGTCTAATGCAAAGCTTCTTGATAGGCAAGGTATTCGAGTGATGCATGTATAGATAGGGGTCCCTTCCTTTGCAGCAAAATGTACTCAAAAACAGACTCTCACCGTATTTAGAGAAAAGAGAATTAAAAAGCTGCATAGAGAAGAAGATCCTCTATAATTGTCATGGATAAGCAAGGTTAACATCGGGCCAAGGCCAGTAGGCGATTTAGGTCCGAGTAAGTTTTGGGCATGGTTCTCATCTCAAATGGATCATGACTGAACCAAAGTTAGAAAGGGGATCCCCCCTGAGTTATCACGTTACTAGTTTTATATCTTAATTGACATCATATGGTCAACAAAAAAAGTGACCAATGACTCAAGCATAAACAAACGTTATGATATTTACAAATGTACTTTTTAAGAGGATAACACATAAATAATAGTTGCACTTATCACAAGTATACATCATCCTCACATCCATATGAATTGAATTTGATACATTCTCTCCAACCAAGTGGAGGCATCAAGATTAGTCGGTAAGCATTTCACCAAAAAATAAAGGCTAGTTGGTAAGCATGATTTATTAATTAAGCTAGCTTAGGGGTGAAAAAGAGAGTACATATTGTCTGTAAGTATAGCTTTATCACACCACCCCCATTGTTTCATTTCACATCTTACAGTACCTTAATTAGGGCTAGCGTTGAGATGGAATGATAATGCTGACACCTCTTCATCCAACAGTTACATTAACGGTTTAACAAATTCGAATTTCAGATAATGATTTTATATGAAAAATGAATTTCTAATTAATAAAAAGAAATTGTTAATTAAATCAATAGAGCCCAAGAGCCCCAAGGCCGAAGGCCCATCTTTTGATAATTATATATATATATATATATTCAAAGCCCAAACCATGATGAGGCCCAACTTTACCTCCACTATGCCCATACCCTATTTAGTATTTCTAAAATATTGAAGTTTATAAACCATGAAAGGAAACAACTCATTTCCAATGTGGGACTAAATGCAAGTGTATTTTTCCTATACAAACTCTAACAAAAACAAAGTAGTCCCACTCCCTCCAGGCCCAAGCCCATGACCAATTGTTGTTGGTGTTTTCTTGCACGTACCTTCATGCATCATTGAGAGATAAAGATGGTGTCCAGCAATCTTGTCGAAGGATACGAAATTTTTTATACACTAATTAAAAAGGGTGAATCACAAATCATACACCCAGCAGAATGAAAAGCAAGATTTGGACTAATGAAACGAAGGGTTTATTAGGAAGACATACCATATGCATTATCATGTTATGGAAGACAATAGAATAAGCAAAATCATTGTAAAATGGACCCCAAAACAATTGTGGTTAACATTTCTAGAGCCAAAGAGATTAAAACGTTGAAAAGATTAGGTCATGGAGGTTGCTACTGGATTATTCAGGGAAAGAAGTGGTTGTTTTTTTTCGGCACAGGTCTATCCCGGTAAAAGTGGCATTTGCCGGATTAGACCTATCCCGATGAAATTCACCTATGCCGACGAAATGTCGTCGAGAGAGATCTAATCTGACAAATTTCGCCGAAATAGACCTTTGCCGACGAAGTTTCATCGGGAGAGGTTTTAATAGAAGTTTAGTATCGTTAGGTCCAATAAATTTTTGTTTTATTAATTAAATAATATATTAGCCTTATTTAAATACTTTCATTAGTAATTATGTTTTAATTATTATTTCTTTAGTGAATAATTAGTATTAAATATTTTAATAAAAATCCTAGAAATTTAGTTTTGGTACCCCAAATATTTTAGTATTCCAAAAATGAATTTTAGCCTCGAAACTTAAATCCAAGTCACAACGTGATTCAATAATATCAACTGGTTGTTGGAGTTTGATTGAAATACATGAACTTGAGTCCCACATTGGAAAAGAAGAGAGAGTATCTACTCCTTAGTAGGCATAAGTTAGAATTCGAGGCCTGAGAAAGGTTTTGGAACAATCTCGGAAGCTAGGGTTTTTGGTTTGAGACTTGAATTTACCCAAACTGATTTTGTGAAAATAAAAATTTAAAACAAAGTCCACGAGAAAAAAATAAATAAATAAAATAATTAATTACTATTTATTAAGTAATTTATTAAATGAATTAAAAATAAATAAATATTCACTAAAGAAATAATAATTGAACATAATTACCAATTAAAGTAATTAAATTTTTTTAAAGATATTACTTAATTACATATTGTAAACTAAAGAAGTTGGCCAAAAAATAAAAGTAAATTTAAAAATAAAAATAAAAAGGCTAGAAAACCTTTCCTGAACGAAACGTCATCGACACAGGTCTATCCCGGCAAAAGCGGCATTTGCCGGATTAGACCTCTCCAGACGAAATGCACCTATGTCAACGAAATGTCATTGGGAGAGATCTAATCAGGCAAATTTCGCTAGGATAGACCTTTGCCAACACAATTTCATCGAGAGACTTTGAACAACATAACTTACCCCTGATGATTTTGAACAAACATGGAATCTTTGAAGTGGGTTGGCCTTAGTCCATGAAGTTTGTATGCGATCTATCTTCCCACAAAAGCAACGCTGTGCCACCACATCCAACTCTTCCTCTCCGTCAATTATTTCAGGCCCCATCTTCAATTTTCGTGGAAACCCAACCTTTGATTTATGGGGTTTTAGCTTCTTCTATGGGGAGGAAGCGAATTTGAGATTTTTTTTGGTTTGAACTAGCTAAGATCAATTTCGATCATTTAAACGGAACTTGGGATGACATTGACGAAAAGTGGTTAAGTGACACACGAAACCTTGGTCAATAGGGCAAAAGTGGGTCATTTCAACTTTATTTTAGTACAAACAATAGTCTAAACTAAAAGGGAGGAGGATTTCACACACACACGTACTATGATGCCATGACAATTCGAATGTGACTCTGAGACCTTTGGTATGCAAGTTAAGGCACTTTTTCACTGAGTTAGACCCTTTTAGCACACTAGTGCAATATATTAGTAAAGCTCAAAGTATAAAACAATTTTAGTCTTACATCAAAAGCATGAGCTGAAAATGGTCGCCGATCAAATTGCAAATGGTGACAAATTAATCAATTGACTAGACTCTAAGCTGGATCATTCAATCCATTACAGAATTCTATGAACTAAAATTTGAACCAAGCTAGCGTTGTTGTGATTGTCATCGCCAACAAATGCGAGAGAAACTCCCATATATTATGTTGTTCTCTTTTCATCTCTCTCATCACATAATAGGGAAAGAGATAAAAAAACAAGATTACATTAAAACACAAACTTGAACTTTTCCATTTATTTTCTCACATTTCTTTGTTCTATTCTCTTGTTCTCTTCTCTTGAACTATATTTAGTACTTTTTTTTAATTAAAAAAAACAATTACAGTGGAAGAAAGCAATAAATGAGAGAAATTAGTACATATGGTATAATTATCCTAATTATTATATTTTGGACCGAACTTTCTGAATAAGCTCCCTTCTCAAAATCTTTCCTGCAGCAGACTTTGGCACACTGTTTATAAAAGTTACTCTCCGCAATCTTTTGAAAGGTGCAACCTGCGGAGGGAAAAGGAAGGAACCCATCAAATATCAAGAGAACTGCTAAAATCTCTTTTCTGATTTCTGTTGTAAATATGCTTAGCTGCCTGCCACCTTACCTGCTTGTCAATGAATTTCTGAATGTCTTGCTGGGTTATCGAGCTGTTGGGCGCACGAACAACATATGCAACTGGAACCTCACCAGCTTTCTCATCAGGATATCTGCAGCAGGAAATTCTGGGTCAAATCTCATGAAGTAGTATTTCAAAGTTATG